TTGGCCCAATGAAACCACACCATATGTGCCACAACCTATATAACAAGTCCTTGTTGGAGGAGACACTACGCATTACACCTGCTTCAGGTAAGAGCAGTCCATTAGCTTCTGCTCATTTTATCTCTACAACATATGACCCATGAACATCAGAGTGACTGAAATGCAGTGTTGTCATAAGCCATTAAAAATAGTGGAAACAAGTGGAAAAATCATTTCTTCAAAATGAGATATAGGGCATGCGCGAAGCAATAACCAAAAAGAAGATGAAACAACGGGGTCATTAGCACAGCTAGATGTGCACAAAGCTACATGACACCATCCCTATATCTTTGTTTATTGTTCAGCAACGATGCTCTGCCTACTGACTTTATTTCCATCGCTAATGGGAAGAGTCGTCCATGCGGCAGCTTGACATCTGCGTCATTTCCCACTCTGACCAACAGAACTTACTTTGAAGTAAAGTTTAATATGAGCACATAAGATATAGGATGGTGTCTATGTGAGCTTGTGCGTCTTGCTGGTGTAATGACCGCCTTTGTTTCCTTCGTCTTCTCTCCTTTTGGTGTGCTTCAAAAGCGATCCCTATCATCCGCGCGCTTTCATTTGAGAAAGATTTTTCCACTTGTATACTTATCTCATGACAGCTATAGAGTTTGCATAGTGAAAGCTTGAAAGCTACCGCAACCCACTAAATAAAGGTGTTTTAGCTATAATACAGCAAACACAGATTTTACTGAGTAGTATAATTAGATCAATGCTCAAAGCATAGTGGCACTGATGTCAGCCCCATATCTCTCCCAAAAGGACCGCCGGTTCCTTATAATATGGACCAAACATATACTCAGCAAATAGTGTTTGCTTTTATGCGAAAATGCAACATGGTTAGGAGTTCAGAGGCTTCTATTAACAAAGGCAGTTCTGAGTTAGAGCTAAGCCAACAGGATGTCACTGATGACCCTTCATAATATTTGCTGATGCTCATATCTATGGGATAGCTAACTGTCGAGAAGCAATGCACATTATGCATACCAATCGCGTGTTTCTGAATGATTGGACCGCCCGCTGCACTTGCACTGTGGACTATTATTTAATTGCTAACATTGCAGACAGTCCATTGTGAATTTCATCACATCAGTGATTACATACTTAAGTAGAGTGGTGATCCTTCTCAGCTTCAATAGGATTCAGTGAAAATATTGTGCAATGGCCGCTATCAAGGTTCTTTTGTTGTCATATTTTACTCTTTTGGAAGTGTGCAGCGTATCAAGTGAAAGTGGAGTTAAAGAGAGTGAAATAAACGTGATAAAAATCTTGGCATTACTCCCTTATGAAATACAAGGATCTTCAGAGCAGCCATGGCTTAAAGAAGGACCTATGCTTCAGCCTGGGATAGAGCTGGCAGTGGAGCAGATAAACCAGAGAGAAGATCTCCTGGCAGGCTACTCTGTCAACCTGACTGTTGCCAACTCTGCTTGCAACCTAAAGTTGCACACGATAATCAATTTTGTAACAACATTCTTCTACAGTGGTGTGAAGTTTGCGGGGATAGTGGGACCTTTGTGCTCAGATGCAGTGAAGTTGATATCACCCATCACTAGACAGGAGGGTGTCTCGCTTCTCAATTTCCATGCCGGTAGCTCCCTGCAGTTTACTGATCGTAACAGATACAGGTATGCATTCAGCACAGTTACTTCAACAAAGCCTTTCATTGAATTATTCTTGCATCTGATGAAAGTGAATGAGTGGGAATCGGTAGCAGTTTTATACGAGCAGCAAACAACTGTCTATCTGAACGCTTACGACTCGCTTGTGGAGAAGCTCCCTCACGTTTACCCAGAGGGTAAAATTCTTTTTTCTGCTCCCGTGTCTGAAGAGAGTTTGCCCCTCTCATCAATCATTCATCAACATCTAAGAGTCGTAATTCTAATCACTACACCAAACATAGCACATAAAATACTTTGCTTAATTCAAAGACGATATCCTGAACTTACTTTCCCATCATACCAGTTTATTTTATTTGGAGATTACCTTGGCTACTATCGCCCTGTAAGTTTAACACTCAACAACCATCACTATAAATGCTCTGCAGCAGAGATTGGACGAGTCATGGACAGGTTTCTACTAACAGGCTTGAAACTGGATGTGGCTAATTCAACTGAATTGGTCTCTGGTGTGACGTATGCAGAAAACTTCCAGGAGTATGAAGAAAGAGCAAATGGTTCAGCAACACTACCTGCAAATGCCCTCTATGACGGAGTGTGGTCTCTGGCACTGGCTCTCAACAACTCCATTCCTAGACTGAATGAAATAGGTCTGGATATGGTTGACTACACCTATGGCCACCGAGAGGCCACTGACATCATACGGGATGAGGTTCTCAAATTGCATTTCCAGGAGCTTCTGGACATATATCATTCAGTAAAGACACCGGGTTCACTACTTCCTCTGTTCCTCTTGAACAGATAGTGGAAAATAGTAGTTTTACACTTGGTTTTTACGGTGAAGAAAAAGAAAAGTTAGGGATAGAGGATGGTATATTTGTTGAAAGCACATTTGAATCAATGGAACTGGTTGTACACCCTGCCCTGGCAAGTCTGTTTTTGCTCATCGCTGTGTTGGCAATAGTGCTAATCGTTAGCACACATGCTGCGACTCTTGTTTTCTCGAGTTTTCCTGCCATTAGAGCTTCCAAGTTACCGCCTGGGGCAGCTGGCTTTCATTGGTTGTTACCTGATAGTGTTGTGCTTTCTTTGTTACACTATCAGAGAAGTTGCCACTTCTACCTCAGTAAGTATTACCTCACTCTGTGTGATTCAAGCCTGGTGCCTTCCTCTTGGTCTCACCCTTATCCTTGGTACCCTCACTGCCAAAACATGGAGACTCTATCGCATATTTGTTCATCTGAAGAAACCAGGAAAGGTTCTGGGCGATAAAGTGTTAGTTACTGCTGTACTGCTACTTGTCTGTTTAGATATAGTTTTTTGTTCAATTTGGAGTGCCAGATTCCCGTTTACAACATTGCGCTACGAGACAGTTACAGATGACAACACCATTGAAGTGAGGGTTGAGTGTCGTTCTGAGTATTACCGTGCCTGGTTTGGTGCACTGACCCTCTACCAAGGCTTTATCATGGTTTCAGCTCTTGTGCTTGCTTTGCTCACTAAAAACATTCGCCACAAAAGTTTCAAAACGAAATCTGTCACATTTCTCGTGTACTTTTTAACCCTCACCCTTTCCCTTGGATTCCCTCTTTACCTGATTCTGAACACTACACGTGTGTCTGGAGTAAATGTGGAGTATGTGGTTCTTTCTCTGACCTACCTGGCTGTTGTTTGTCTCTGCTTTGTCTTCCTGTTCTTTCCTCCAGTCCTCTCTCTATTGAGAGTAAAGCTATTCCACAAAGTAAGAGTTTTAAGGAAGTATTCGACAAATGTCAGCAGGAAATCATCCCAGCCTTCCTCCTTCCTCCATGTCAAGAAATAAGTTAATTGTGATTTCAAAATGGTCATGCTGTTGTTTTTGTGATCTCGGCACCCTTTGGTCTTTTTGTAACCTCAGTGAATGCCAATTGTTTTAGTTACAAGCATGTTGAAACGGCAGTTCCCGAGAACAAGGGAAATAATTAATTGGGAGACTATGGTGGTCGCGATGAAAAAGGTTTGCGGACTTTATCAGTTTCAGCATAGCTGGCTCGTGTAAAGCGGGTAGATCATTCATGTAAGCCACACCTTACTCTATACAGTATGTTCTTTCTGTCCCCAATTCCCTTCTCTCAGCTCCCTGGACTCCCTAACACCCCTTGCTCCCTAGACTCTCCCAGCAATTGACTCCCTTTACTCCTTGGTGCTCCCCTTTGCGACAAGGGAGTAAAGGAAGCAAGGGAAGTCAAGGGAGTCCCATGAGCAATGGGAGTCAAGGGGAGTCCGAGTCAGGGGAGTCCAGGGAGTCTAGGGAGAAGGGGTGGGTGTCAAGAGAGTCCAGAGAGCAAGGGGAGTCAAGGGAGTCAAGGGAGTCGAGTCTGGGGAGTCACGGGAGTCCAGGGAGCAAGGGGGAGTCAAGGGAGTCCAGGGAGCCAGTGCAGTCAACGGAGTCCAGGAGGAACTGGGGACATACTGTTTCCAGTTTCAACGGCACGCCCACGTAATTGCGTGCGCTGCGCGCGCTCCACGCGCGTAGCGCGTAGGAGGAGGTCGAAGTCCATCAGCTGAGGAGTGTTTCAGGTTTCATGATGCACTCTTTGTGAAAAGAATGACAGTGCTTCTGTTTAGGCATTCACCATGGCAGATGCAGGGCAAGTACCGCAAATGTTTGGTATGAGCTATTATACTGCATAATATATGGTAGGAAATGTCGTTTTTTCCAGTCTCCCGTACAAAGTTTCGCTCCACTCATCCTCTGGATGGCATTGACATAGCCCTGGGCCACTCTGGTATTTCTGCCGAAACTCCCATCACCGTTAGTGAGATGATGAAGGGGACAGTGGGCAAAATCCCCAATGGAGTTGCCCTCAGTTACAAGCTTGGAGACAGATGGTCAAGCATCACCTACCAGCAGTACTACGACCTCTGCATATCTGCAGCCAAGTCCTTCATAAAGGTAGACATTCGGTGGTTTTCTGTGCCATAGCACAGAGGTGTGGGTTTGCCTTTGCCCCAAGGTCTGGGTTTGCCTTTGCCCCATATGTTGCATTATATTATACCGAGGACTTGAGCCCTGCCTGCTCTTTGTGGTAGAGCACTCTGTCTAAATCTATATAAAGAAAAGTTGAAGTCCCACCTAGAGTATAGCTCTTTCTTTGTCCCTTGTTTATAAACCCTGATTCATGTCATGCCTATGTTTGTTTGTATTTGCAGTTGGGTCTAAAGCCTTCACATGCTGTGGTCATCATAGGGTTTAATGCCTGTGAGTGGCATATCTCGTGCCTGGGTGCAATATTTGCTGGGTAAGTATAAATACAAAATTTGTGCACGGTGCTCTAGGGCGGCTAGTTTCTTCAAAAGAGGTAGTGTTTGAAATGCGCAGTTTAACAGAAGTAGCGTGTGATCACACTCGTGAGTTTAGTCATCTGCGTGCACACGCTGAGGCCTTGTTTTGTGAAGTATGAACGTAAAGTAAGCAAGATGTACACTTGTGGGTGATGTTTATGATGAACAAAAGGGCAATGTGTAGTACACCTGAGTTTTTTGAGCAGCTATGTAAACTAGTGTATCCTTGGATAATAAACAATCACAGTATATACCATCATTGACGGTATTTTATGGCTTTTCGAACAACTTTTTGCACAACGCTCATTGCGTATCTGCAACAGGTGTGGTTACTTCATAGCAAGTATTAACGTCCTCTCATGTTTCAAAATCACGTGTGGTATGAGAATTTCCGTTTACTTGGTGCTCATGTTTGTCATGCAGGTACGGTGGAACCTCTGAATGATGGACACAGTGGGGGATAAACCCTTTGTCCATTGTCCAGAGGTTCTACATTAAAGTACCATGATTAATGTTTAATATCTTCTTTATGCAGGGGAATTGCATGTGGAACATATGCCACCAACAGTTCAGAGGCCTGCAAGTACATTGCTGGTGACTGCAGAGCTACAGTTGCTGTGGTGGAGGACGAAATACAACTCAACAAGTTTTTGGAGGTTTGATCTAACTCTTATGATGAACCAATTTTTTTCCTGCCTTATGCTTGTTTTTTTTAGATCCGTAGTGAGCTACCTGAACTACAAGCTATTGTGCAGTATAGGGGGAAACCAAGGCAACAGTACCGAGATGTTTACACTGTATGTAGTACATATGTATTGTAACAAATTGCTACTGATATACAATACACATCTCTTCCTAACCTTAAATTATGCCCAAGGGGTCTATATATTGTCCACATAGCAATATATGTATATGTAGAAAGTCTCGTAACAATTTGCTGCTGATACTATGTGTATGCTGTTCATATGGACACTTTAGTGTGAGGGAGGTATGTATGCACGGTACACATGATTAACCCTCGGCACGCATGCGCAGCGAGGGTTACGGTACTTGGTTCGTAAGTATGTCTGTCCATCCGTCTGTCTGTCTGTTCCACGTTTTCTGCCACCACGTGCAACGACACAACAAAATAGCAATACCAACAGGTTCACTTCTACACTGGCTTCATTTTAAAAAGGTGATTTCCGTATAACTACTGCGTTTGAAATTTATGGCGTGAAAAGCAAGTGAACAAGCCAATATGAAAATTAGCACAAGGCTTACCTCGACCGGGTCTGCTTGCTCTGTGTACCTTTGATGCACAAGAAGTGCAACGAATGGCATGTATCAGCTCCCCCATTCTATCTACTACTGTAGCCTAGCTAGCCCGTTTCAGACTCTCAGTGAGCTACCAGTGGGAGACCACGAGTAAACACATACTAATGGCCCAGCCCATCAATTAACGGTATCGCGCATGCACAGTTTTGCCGAGGGTTTTGCACTTCAGTTCTTTTCGTTTAATGGAACTGGCGCTCAAAGTGTGGCGAGAGTTTACCAAACCACGTTTATGGTCAAACTATCAGTTTTTGATACATGATTCATGGACGTAAGAGGTGGAGGGTGGACAGGTTTTTCGTCCAAATGAAATGAAGTCTCATGTTTCCCAAATGAGTGAGTGAGAAAGTAACTCTGTAAACAAGTGTGATTTGGCCAATGATGTGCCTTACGTAGTTGGCCTCACACACTCAATGTATGTAGTTTGCGCCGAGGTTTTGCACGTATGTTATCTCCTGTTACTAGTGGGAGCAGTTCATGGGACTTGGCAAACACGTTGAGACCAGTGTGGTGGAGAGAGTCGTGCAGGCACAGACACCTAACCAGTGTGCCTCTCTGGTCTACACGGTAAGTCTTACGACCCTTGTCTCCACTACACCATCATGCACATGTATACCTTTATCTCCAGTCAGGGACTACTGGTAATCCTAAAGGAACGATGCTGAGTCATGACAATGTGAGTCATGCGGTATTTTCGAGTGCAAGTAGTCACTCCTTTAAAGGAATGTGACAGTATAATTACAACTAAACAATGCAATGAATTCCCGTTTAGTAACAGTTTCTACATTTACCCTTTCTATACTGTCACGTTCCCCGTTGTTGCTATATTATTATTATACAGACATTGCGTACTCCTCATAATGTGTGTGAGGTGTTGGGGCGCTCATAAAATGAGACGCTACAGCTTAGATGGCAAAACTTGAAAGACATTGAGAACACAAGCGTTCCTGCTAGGTCAGTAATGCGACCGCTAACACCATGAGCAAATCTATAATTTCAAGTCAGGTGCCTCCAAAAAAGAACACTGAATTAAGAGATTTTTTAAAAGGTGTCTTTTATTCGGAGGTTTCAAATGTGTTCTTCCCCACGTGATATATCCCCTCCCAGCTGACCTGGACTGCCAAAGCTCTTGCATCCACCTCCCATGATGTCAAGTTTGGTGTCGAACACTTTGTCAGTTACCTTCCCCTGAGTCACATTGCTGCCCAGGTGTGTTGATATTATATGATACTCTCTCCATATCTCTTTCCATGTTCTGACTCGGAGTGTCACACTTAAAGAAAAAGTGATTTGTCTTTCAGATGGCGGACATATACTTTTCAATCACAGTTGGTGCTTGCTGCCATTTTGCCCAACCAGATGCTCTTAAGGTTCGTTATCAAACAGAATAATAATAGCTAATCGCAGTAGGAGTCCCCCTCTGCTCATGCATGTAGGGGACACTGGTTGAGACTCTTAGGGAAGTGCAACCAACACAATTCTTTGCTGTACCACGGTTGGTATTGGTATAGCTAGCTGTTGAGCTCCATGATCAGTGTGTCTTTCAGAGTGTATGAGAAGATGATGGAGAGGATGCAAGAAATGGGAGCCACTGTGACTGGATTCAAGAGAGTCCTGGCTGACTGGGCCAAGAGAAAAGGCTTGGAGGGAAACCAAAACTTTCTCAGAAAGTAAAACAGTTTTTGTGTGAATAATCCACGCTCATTTGATGGAGTTTTGTTGCAGTGAGTCAGTGCCGTGGGGTTGGAGTTTGGCCAATATGCTCGTGTTCAAAAAAGTGCGCGAGGCTCTTGGCTTCCAGCGATGCAAGGGGTTCGGAGTGGGAGCTGCTCCCATCAAGATGGAGACTTTGGAATACTTCATGTCTCTCAATATCCCTATCCGGCCCACGTATGGTAGGTCATCATTATTAACCCTCGGCGCGCATGCGCAGTGAGGGTTACTGTACTTGGTTTGTCTGTCTGTGTGTCTGACACTACAGGCTACGAGGCGGCCATCAGTGATACCAATGGCTTCAGAACTACGTGAGCCTGAAACCACTGTGTTTTAGAGCGATAAACTGGCATGGTCGCGGATCGCATTGCGTAGCCCATTAACAGTGCACATGCATGTAGTTAGATGCAGTCCACGCGATATGCCATATGCTGCGACCTGATCCGCTTGCTCTGTACCTCAGAGGCACAAGAAGCCACAGTGAAGGGCGTGTATTGACTCTATCTACTATTGTAGTTAGCCCGTGTCAGATTCTCCGCGAGCTACTAACGGGAGACCACAAGTAAACACAGACCCTAATAGCCCAGCCCATCAATTAGTGGTACCGCGCATGCGCAGTTCGCCGAAGGGTTTGCACTTCAGTGCTTTTCATTGGTAGTCAACCCGGTGTTGCAACTTAAGCCCAATTGACATATTTCCTTGTGTTGTGGAGCTATGGCATCGCAAGCTACATCAGCGATCTCCTGATGTAGCAGCACTCAGAAGTACTTGCGATGGTATTGTGAACGCATAGTTTATTTGGGCATCTATCGTCTATGTCTGTTACAACTACATGATTCCCACCATCAATCCTTGCCCATTTGGATGTGTCTTATAACGAGCATAGTGCAGTGCTAACTAATCGGTTTGTAATCAAAGAACTGACATTCTAAAAGCCAGTAACTGTACTGCACTGCATTGTCATGACAATGATTTTCATGTGTTTCTGACACTGGTATATATCGCCAAGAGTTACGTGTACTTCTAAGTCCAAACTTGAGAGCACTCAGTGTGTATACGGTTAGACCATAGATGTGGAGTTGAGTTTACACAACAGGAAAGATTGTGGTATATAGTGGTCCATTCAACCCGAGGGTTACAGTATATATAGTGTATGTATGTGCCATTTTACTGTCTGTCCCTCTCTCTCTCTCTCTCTCTCTCTCTATCTCTCTCTCTGTGTATTCCTACCAGTTGGACAAACCTCAGGTCGCATAATAGCGCTGGGGTTTTCACCTTAATGTGTTCTTGTGTTTGTACTAGCAAGCTAGCCTTAAGCTTAAGCTGAAGTTCAGAAGCTGAAGTTCAGAAGCTTGGTGATGTATGAAACACCATCACTTATTTCATGTATTCAACATTGGGCACGTGTACAGGTATATATATACACTCATGTATTGTGTCAGGAATGAGTGAATCCAGTGGACCTCACAGCCTCTGCAAGATGGACCCCAGCTGGTGGAACCCTGCCAGTGTTGGCAAGGACATGCCTGGTGTGCAGACAAAAATATTCCAGCCTGACTCAAATGGGGAAGGAGAAGTACGATACCTAGCTGTCACTGTATGGATTGAGTGTTGAGCTGTTTTGTAGGTGTGTTTCCGTGGACGTCATGTTTTCATGGGGTATGTGAATAACTGGGAGAAGACGACCGAGGCTATTGACTATGAGGGGTGGCTTCATTCTGGTGATATGGGGAGGATTGACGAGGTAGTATAATATTCATTGCATCCTCTGTCTCTCTACACTATGGTCTTTTGTGGTACACAGAAAGGCTTTCTTCACATCACCGGGCGATTCAAAGGTACACAACAGTTCAGACTATTCATTGATAATGTGAGAGCATGGGAACTGCAGAGCTCATCATCACTGCCGGGGGAGAGAATATCCCGCCAGTCCAACTGGAGGCCAATATCCTGCGAGAGATTCCGTTCCTGAGTAACGTCATGATAGTGGGAGACAAGAGACCCTATCTCACTTGTCTCATGACCCTCAAAGTTAGTCTTGCTACTGATTGGGGCAGTTTGCTTATGGTTTTGGACAAGTTGCTCTATGCAGGGTTGTGTATGTTGTAGTTAACCCTCGGCGTGCATGCGCAGCGAGGGTTACTGTAGTTGGGTTTGTGTGTCTGTCTTTGTGTCTATTACTCTCAATCTCACCTCTCGGATGTCTGTTCGTCTCACAAATGATGTGACGTACTCAACAGGCAATGAAGGTCAGAAATTATGAGCAGTTTTCTCTGAAAAATGCTCCGTTGCAGAGCTACAGCACTTCCAGCATTGTACGGCTAATGCGTAGTCGGCCATTTTTTTATCGCTGCGGAAAATGCGCATGCAGTTATATGCTAATTAGCACAAGCTTACCTCGACCGAGCCGCTTGCTCTGTGTATCTTGAAGGCATAATAAGTCACAAAGAAGGGCGCGTATCGACTCCCGCATGCTATTTACTACTGTAGCTAGTCCGTGTCAGACTCTCCGCGAGCTACTAGCGTGGGTACCACGAGTAAACGCATACTAAAAGCCCAGCCCATCATTAGTGGTACCGCGCGTGCGCAGTTTGCCAAGGGTTTGCACATCCGTGCTTTTCATTGATGACTGTGGCATGTCAGAATTGTTTGAGAGTATAAAAGCAGTGTTCAGCAGAAAGTTATGTTGGACTGTTGCAGTGTGATGTGGACGTCAACACGGCAGAGCCACAGGACACCCTCACTCCTCTGGCTAGAAAGGCTGTAGAGGAACTGGGGTCTCCTTGTACCACGGTGTCTGCCATCATCAGCAGCAGAGACCCTGCCGTCTTCTCTGCCATCTCTCAAGGACTGGAGCGAGCCAACCAGAAAGCAGCTTCTAAAGCCCAAAAGGTTTCTGGAACTTTCTACCAACTTTATGCATTCAATTTTTTTATGCTTTTTGCTGGTAAATGTGTACAGGTTCAGAAATGGGCCCTCCTCAATACTGATTTTTCTCTTCCAGGCGGGGAGTTAGGTATATACATTATCTCGATGTATAATTATTGTTAGACCTTAGATTGGAATAATGTAGGTCCTACTTTGAAGCTGAAGCGGTTCTTTGTGTTAAGGAAGTATGCATCTACTATCAACTCCATGTATGAGCAGGCAGAATCAGGCGGACTTCAATCCAAACTCTGACACTTGAACAATGTTATAATTATTATAGTATGTGGTATATACAAATATTGACCCATTTTTTTAATATAGGGTGAGGTAAAACATCCCATAACGAGTAGGTTTGAGGAAGAAGGATGATGATGATAATTACAGGAAAATCGTGAACAAATTCTCGCATGGAGAGCTGTATAGCAAGATATTGGCACATAGCTGCATAGACTATTTTGAAGGCATATCGAGTCATTCTCGCTGAGTCACGTTTTTCGAAATAGAGAACAAGGTTGGTTAAGAGAGAGAGAGAGCTCTGTTAGCTATACTCTTTTTCGTAGCTATACTAGTCGCTCATAGCTACAACTCTCTCTCTCTCTCTCTCTCTCTCTCGGGGGAAAACATCTTCATCTCAAAGTGTACATACATAAAAATGAGGAGTGGTGAACACCGAGGTCAACTTGCCTAAATGGTGTACAAAACCATTGCCAGAACCACAATACAGAGGTATAAAACAGAGACAACAGAAACCTAACGTAGAAGGTGATACAAACCAGAATCATTTTTTCCTGTTCCTTGAGCACCAGATGCTGAAGGATCCGGCCAAGGCAAGCTTGGCGGAATCCTCCAGCAACCTGGCTAGTTGCTTTCGCTGTAGCCCCAGGTCACTGGGCAGATCTTCGAAGGCTGGAAGGTGAGGAACACCCCGTGACCCCACCTCAATCGTAATCAATTTGGTGTCATAGCCCTTGGCCTGAGCCTGCTCGACAAGGTCGAAGTACTTCGCTGACTTCCTTCGAGCAGCCTCGTCAAAGTTAGTCTCGAAGCATACTGTGAGCTCGGCCAGACGCAGGGACTTACACACTTCATCCCACCAGACCAGGTCAGGGCGAAGGTCGGTGGAGATGATGTGGAGAGGGAAGGTGTACGTTGTGCTAAGATCTGCGGTCAGGGTGGCAGAAGGAGGGAGGTGAGTCCTGATGACTGCAGCAATTGCCTCCAGGATGAGGTCGTGACGGTGGTTGTACCGCCTGGCATCCCGGGCCACAGGGCAATTGTTCAGGACGTGTAGAAGACTCTGATTGCTGTGGCAGAGAGGACAGGATGGATCGTTTCTCTTTTTCCAGCGGTGCAGGTTGAGATTGTGTGGCAGCACATCCACAGCAGCATTTAGTGCAAACTTCATCTGTTCTTCTGGCAATGCCAACACTGCACTGGACCAGATTGGGGCGCAGCTGGGACTGGTACATCGATAGAAAATTCGAGCCGAAGACACGATTCTCTGTCTGTTTTTCTTCGACGAAGAATCTATCTCCTTCGAAGCCAACTGGACGGACTGTATATAAGAGGATGGATAAAAATTCCGCACAGTATATATGAAGCGCGTAATATTAACGCATGCGCACTAAGACGACGACGGTGCGCCGTATAGAGACACGACTAGGTGGGCTCGGTCCGCTCGCCCAATCAGTGTCCTATATTCTCATGAGCCAATCTCTGTAGGACTGCACTGTCGCCGCGCAGCGCAGGAACCGTTATATACCCACGATCGCACTGGACAAGGAGTGCTACAATAATAAGAGTGTTGTATCCATACACATCACACAGTGAACAATATAATACAACCTTACAAATGTGTGATGAGCTGTTGAAAATGGGGTTATCAGAGCGTCAGTAGACGCTTAATAATAGGGATGGCGGGGTGAAATCTCACGTAATCAGCGTACAAAACGCCTCAAAACTCGGCGAGAATGACTCACCATGGCTTGAAAATGACTAGCAATAGTCTACAGGCAAATACCTAGCTATAATGAAAAGCCAAAAGCCCTGAAGTGCAAACCCTCGGCGAACTGCGCTTGCGCGATACCGCTAACTGATGGCCTGGGCCGTTTACTCGTGGTCTCCCGCCAGTAGCACGCGGAGAATCTGACACGGGCTAACTACAGTAGTAGATAGCATGCGGAAGTCGATACACGCCCTTCGTTGTGACGTCTTGTGCCTACAAGGTAAGCAGAGCAAGCACATCTTGTGGAGGTAAGCCCGTACAATTGGCGTGCTCACTTGGTTTTCACGCCATAACTTTTGAACGCAGCACTTTAACGAAAAATGTAGCACCGAACCGATCTTGTTGCGCCTAGTGGCAGAAAACGTGAACGGACACACCGACCAAGTACTGTCACCCTCTAACGCATAAACCCCAAGACTTCCTACGTGCCCTCAGTTCCCAACGAGAGAAATCGCTCTTACGTGATTTCACGATTTTCGTGTCATCATAATTATACATCTTCTTCTTCAGACCCGCTATCAGTTGAAGCGTTGATTTTTCACATAACTTCTCCTATTTGCCGAAGGTGTGCGGGGACATCAAGCGATCTTTGTTTTTTGCCGTAAGTCACTACGGTAGATCGTTGAGCTCGTCTCCTCACTGAACAACGCCATTTGCTGCGCATGCGGCCGAGGAGGGCGTTTCCAAAGCGGTGCGCGCGCATATAGTCTCTCTCGTAACCAGAGGTTCACGAGACTAAGCAGGATGCCTGAGAGGAATCTCATCCTCCAGCGCTAAGTAGTATATACACATTCTCAACTGGCTAGCTTGCTTTTGCTACTGATTTGCACGTGGGAGTCTGCGCCGGTTACGCGAGCCTTACCGGGCGTACAATATTCTTTGTCCGCGGTATAGGTATCATTGTAGTCTGATACTGAAGCTTGCCCATGAACCATCACCGTGTGCCACAACCTATGCGTTCTTGTGAGACACTACGCGTACATCCTACAACCTGCAATAGCTAAACCTTTGCTTGAGCAATGTGTCAAATTTGCTCTGTGGTTATCAAGAAAAAGCTAGATGGTTGGTAGGTATGCCTGCTTCATGTGCAGCAGCCTATTGCTACTGCTTTCATCGGTTATCTCTACAACATACCCATGAACATCAGAGTGACTGAAATGCAGTGGTGGTCATCAGCAGTTATAAAATTAATGAGTGAAAACAGTGGGAAAATCGAAAATCGTTTTTTTCAAAATGAAGGGGATATATGGATGGCTTATTGAAGCACCAAAAGGAAGAGAAAGGATCATTACACAGCAAAGATGCACAGCTACACCATCCTTATTGTTCATAGGCAACGTTAATATGAACAAAGATATAGGATGGTGTCATGTATATAGCTTGTGCATGTTTGCTGTGTACTGACCCTGGTTTCTTCCTTTTTGGTGCTTCAAGTCATCCTATACCCCCTTTCATTTTATTTTTCCACTGTAGGAATGACATGCACACAAAAAGCAACAGATTGATAGCTGCATAGCAGTACATAAAACTACACGACACTTAAACCCTTTGTCTCATGAATGAACCATAGATTATGGATGGTGTCATGTAGTCTAGCTATCTTGCAGTAAACGTAGACTTAGAACCTCTATGAATAATTCCTCGATGTTGATGTATAATCAAATGTCTACAACCCGTAGTACTGGGTTGGCCAGGTATTAATACTAAGTCTCTAAGTTGCAAGTTTAGATCCCACTGCAGACAAAGTTCACACCCATTATATCTTACTCTTAATAAAGTAAAGTAACCCTTGGCAGAGATGCACATGCTTGCTATAATATAGGAAGGGTTCCTGTAAGCAAGTGAGGAAGACCGACCTATGTACACAGTCTCTGTGAAAGGCTGCAGACAACATAAGCATGTCCACCAGTGCATTTGTCATGTTTTTTTAGCTCAACAATAGGCTTGGTAAACCTTCTCTGCACAATTTAGCCTATGTGGGAACGGGATATGTATATACGGATATTTTACTGAATATTTCGCGGCATGCGCGAACAGAGTGTAAACGCGCGCGTGGGAGTATTACAAACGGCATGTGTCACAACCGCTAATTGATGGCTGGGCCGCTATTTTACCGAGTCGTGGTCTCCCACCAGGTGGATAGCTGAGAGTCGGCAACGGGCTAGCTACACGCCCGTATTGCAAACCTCTGGTGCCTCAAATGTACGCAGAGTCAAGCGTACTTACATGCGCTTGCTCTGCGTACCGACACACGGAAATTAACCGTAACCTCGTGCGCATGCGCGCCGAGTTAGGTCCTTGCACACCTGCATAGATTATGATAGTACTTATCCTAACACATCGTCCAGCCCTGGTACGATCTGTAACTGCTGGGCTTTCCGGCGTAGTATATACATATCCGCAACCACCCATCCCCACCCTGAGATCATCTGAGTACCTCTAATTAGCATGGTTTCTGCCTACCAACCACATCCCAGTCACGGATCACGATCTCTCTGACGTCTTACCAACCTCATATATAGCCTAGATATAAAATAAATCTATTGGTGTTGGGGTGTAATATATCGGCCTGACAATTCTGAGTTGAAATGTTCTGCTTGATGTCTTCAGAGATGGGTTCACGCTAGAGATTTCACAACCTCTGTCGTGACGATTGATCTTGATGGCATGGACTTGCGCAATTCTCACTAATTCGTTTTTGTTTTGAACACCTCCCAGGCTAGGCTGAGGTAACCGATGAGATGGGCAGCTGAGCAGATAGTGGGACGTTACTAGTGCGGCCCCTAAACAGGAGGTATATTTCAGCAGTTGCTACAGGAGTGTGTCGATCCATGACCACGAGAAAGAGCACTAGGGACAAGACAGATCCTGGTCGAACACCTCCACTGGTAGCTTACCACAAGGCACAGAGAGCTGACCGTGACACTTCACTACACACTTGGATTACGTGTGTGCTACCAGCCCGTTAACCACTATATGCTCCATGCTATAAATAAAACCACAACATAGTATCAAAACGGCGGCCCTCATCCTACAACTTACCACAGTGGTGGTATCATAGCATATCACAAGTGTGGGCAGCCTCATTAGAGAGTACAGCTACCTAGCATCATAACCACAGGCATAATGGGTGCCTGCTTTGATACCAGGTACTGGTCCTTCTCCGCAACAGTAATCAGCACTCCGCAAAATTGCTAAGAGGTGTGACTCTCATGTGTCCACACTTCAATGACCAGAGGAAGCTCTACCTCAAATTTCTTCTACAAACGCTGCATTACAGCAGGAGCTGGAGCATACCGCCTATACTTAATATGTTGTGTTATATAGTAGTACGGCAATGTATTGC